GTTGTGTTTCTGTTCATTTTTCTAGGTCATTATTATGGTGTTCCACTAATAGTTGTTGTTTTCCTTCCTTACTGCAATTACCGTATTATTTGCCTTTCGCATAGTCTTTATGTATATATCATACTCTGTTGTTCCATTACTTATACTTGTTCAGGTTATTTAGTCAAGTAGGTGTCTTGACTGTTTCTCGTCACTACTGAGGTCAGTCTTGATACTTGCTGGGTACCACCGTGGTATATTCATACTATACTTCTACACATGCAAAAGATGTGGGCTTTAGCATATGAAAATTTGGGAATCGAGCCAATTTCCAACTTTATGGCCCTAAAATGCTAAAAATGAGTAACGACCATGGCAAGGCGGTGATTATTGTTCCTTAGGTTGCTTTTGATGGTCCGACAAAATTTTAGGCGGTCCGGGTCCTGTGGCCAAAGCCTATACAGAAGGCGTGGGCTATAACTCCTGAACATATGGGAATTGGGCGGAATTTTATTTTTGTGGCCCTAAAACGCCAAAAAACGAGTAACGGCCATAGCGAGGCGGTGACTATTATTCCTTAGGTAGTTTTTGACTGTCCAAAAATATATTAGGCAGTCCAGGTCCGGTGGGCCGGGCCCATGAAGAAGTTGTGGGCTATAGCAATCGAAAATCTAGGAATTGGGCGGAGTCCCAGTTTAATGGCCTTAAAATGCAGAAAAACGAGTAACAGTCATGGCGAGACAATAACTATTTTTCCTTAGGTTGTTTTTGACGGTCCAAAAATTTTAGGTGGTGTGGGTTCGGTTGCCGGGGCCCATGTAGAAGGCGTGAACTATAGCACACAAAAATCTGAGAATCGGGCGGAATTCCAATTTTATGGCCATAAAATGCCAAAAACATGTAATCATCATGGTGAGGTGGTGACTATTGTTCCTTAGGTCTAGTTTGATGGTCCGACAAAATTTTAGGCGGTCAGGGTCTTGTGACATGGGCCCATGCAGAAGGCGCGGGCTATAGCACACAAAAATCTGGGAATCACACGTAATTCTATTTTTTGGCCTTAAAATGCCAAAACACGTGTAACAGACAAGGGGAGGTGGAGAGTATTTTTCTTTAGGTAAATTTTGATGGTCCGACAAACTTTTGGCGGTCGGGATCTAGTGCCCTAGGTCCATACAGAAGGCGTGAGCTACAACACACGAAAATGTGGGATTCGGCGGAATTCTATTTTTCGGCCCTAAAACACAAAAACGAATAAAGGTCATGGCGAGGAGGTGACTATTGTTCCTTAGATAGTTTTTGATGGTTCAGAAAAATTTAGGTGGTCCTGGTCTGGTGATCCCGGTCTATGCAGAAGGAGTCGGCTATATAGCACACGAAAATCTGGGAATTAGGAGGAATTCCATTTTTATGGCCCTAAAATACCAAACATGAAAAACGGTCATGGAGAGACAGTAAATATTGTTCCTTAAGTCATTTTTGATGGCCCGACAAAATTTTAAGCAGTCTAGATCTAGTGGTCTGCACTATAGCAATCGAAAATCTAGGAATGAGGCAAAATTCCAGTTTAATGGCCCTAAATCACCAAAAGATGAGTAATGGTCATGGCGATGCGGTGACTATTGTTCCTTAGATAGATTTTGAAGGCCCGACAAGATTTTATTTGATCCGGGTCTGGTGGCTCGGTCCCACACAGAATGCATGGGCAATAGCACACAAAGATATGAAAATCATGCGGAATTTTATTTTTATGGCCCTAAAATACTAAAAAATGAGTAACGATCATGGAGATGTGGTAATTATTGTTCCTTAGGTCATTTTTTATGGTTCAGCAAAATTTTAAGCGATCCAGTTCTGGTGGCTTGGGCTCATGCAGAGGCGTGTGCTATAGCACATGAAAATTTGAGAATCGGGCGGAATTCAAGCTTTATGGTCCTAGTACGCCAAAAAAGAGTAACGGTCATGACAAGGCGGTAACTATTGTTCCTTAGGTTGTATTTGATGGTCCGGAAAAATTTCAGGCGGTCCAATGGCCCTGGCCCATGCTGAAGTCTATAGTACACGAAAATATGGGAATCAGGCGGAATTTCAGTTTTATGGCCCTAGAAGCAAAAAAACGAGTGACGGTCATGCGAGGTGGTGGCTATTGTTCCTTAGGTCATTTTTGATGGTCCGGTAAAATTTTAGGCGGTCCAGATCTGGTGACCCGAGCCCATGTAGAAGGCGTGGGCTATAGGACACAAAAATTTGAGAATCTGACAAAATTTCAGTTTTATGGCCCTAAAATACCAAAAACGTGTAACGGTCATGGCAAAGCAGTGACTATTATTCCTTAGGTCGCATTTGATGATCCGGCAAAATTTTAGGCAGTTCTCGTCCGGCAGGCCCATGTAGAAGGCGCGAGTTATAGCATATGAAAATCTGGGAATCGTGCGAAATTTTATTTTTATAGCCCTCAAATACCAACAAACGAATAACGGTCATGGAGAAGTGGGGAGTATTGTTCCTTCGGACAATTTTTATAGTACGGAAAATTTTTATGCGCTCAAGGTCTGGTGGCTCGGGCCCATGGTGAAGTTAGAGGCCTATAGCACACAAAAATCTAGGAATCAGACGAAATTCCATATTTGTGGCCCTACAACACCAAAAACTGAGTAACATTTATGGCGAGGCAGTGACTATTGTTCCTTAGGTAGTTTTTGATGGTCCCATAAATTTTAGGCGATCCAGGTGGCCCGGGGCCATGTAGAAGGCGTGGACTGTAGCACATGAAAATATGGAATCGGGCGAATTCCAGTTTTATGGCCCTAATAAGCAAAAAAATGAGTGACAGTCATGCGAGGTGGTGAATATTGTTTCTTATGTTGTTTTTAATGGTCCAACAAAATTTTAGGTTGTCCGCGTCCGGTGGACCAGACCTATGCAGAAGGTGTGAGCAATAGCATATGAAAATATGAGAATCGGGTGGAATTCCATTTATATGGCCCTAAAATACCAAAAACTTAGTAACGGTTATGGCGAGGCAGTGACTATTGTTCCTTAGGTCATTTTTTATGGTCTAGCAAAGTTTTAGGAGGATCAGGTCTGGTGGCCCAGGCCACGTAGAAGGCGTGGGTTATAGCACACGAAAATCTGGGAATGGGGCGAAATTCCGGTTTAATGGTCCTAAAACACCAAAAACGAGTAATAATCATGGCGAGGCAGTGACTATGTTCCTTAGGCCAATTTTTTGGTCCAATAAAATTTTAGGCGGTGCAGGTCCGGTAGCCTGGATTCATGCAGAAGGCGTGGGCTTTTTAGCACATGAAAATTTGGGAATGGAGCAGAATTTAAATTTTATGACCCTAAAACGCCAACAAAAGTGTAACGGTAATGGGGAGGCGGTGATTAGGTAGTTTTTGATGGTCCAACAAAATTTTAGGCGGTCCGGGTCTAGTGCCCTGAGCCCATGTAGGAGGCGCGAGCTATAACATACAAAAATCTGGGAATCGGGCAGAATTTCATTTCTTAGCCCTAAAACTCCAAAAAAGAATAACGGTCATGGTGAGACAGGGAATGTTCCTCAGGTAGTTTTGATGGTCCGATAAATTTTTATGCGGTCCGGGTCCGTTGGTCTAGGCCCAGGCAGAAGACGTGGCCTACAGCACATGAAAATTTGGGAATCGGTTGGAATTCTAGTTTTATGGCCCTAAAACGCCAAAAAATGAGTAACGGTCATGGAGAGGTGTTTACTATTATTCCTTAGTCGTTTTTATGGTCCGGAAAAATTTTAGGTTGTCCGAGTTCGGTTGCCCGGCCCATACAAATGGCGTGAGCTATAACAGACAAAAATCATGGAATCGGGCGGAATTCCAATTTTATGGCCCTTAAATGCCAAAAAATGAGAAACAATCATGGCAAGACGATGACTATTGTTCTTTAGATCATTTTTATGGGCCGATAAAATTTTAGGCTATCCGGGTTCAATCGTCTGGGCTCATGCAGATGGCATGGGTCATAGAACATGAAAAATCTGGAAATCGAGCGAAATTCCAGTTTTATGGCCCTAAAACGTCAAAAAATGAGGAATGGTCATGGGTAGCCGGTGACTATTGTTCCTTAGGTCGTTTTTTATGGTCCAGTAAAATTTTAGGCGATATGGGTTTGTTCGTCGGGGTCCATGCAGATGGCATGGGCTATAGCATACGAAAATCTAAAAATCGGGCGGAATTCCAGTTTTATGGTCCTAAAACGCTGAAAAAGGAGTAATGATCATGGCGAGGCGCTGACTATTGTTCCTTAGGTCGTTTTTTATGGCCCGGGAAGTTTTAGGCGACTCAGATCCAGTCGCCCGGGCCCATGTAGATGGCGCGCGCTACGAGACATGAACAATTTGGAATTCCAGTTTTATGGTCTTAGAACGCCAAAAAACAAGGAATGGTCGTGGCGAGGCGATGATTATTTTTCCTTAAACTGTTTATTATGGGCCGGCAAAATTTTAGGCGATTCCTGTCAGGGCGCATGAACACATGCATATGGCTTGGGTTATTACACACGAAAATTTGAAAATTGGACACAATTCTAGTTTTAAGGCCTTAAAACGTCAAAAAACAAGGAACGGTCTCGACGAATCGATGACTATTGTTTCTTAGGTCGTTTTGATGGCCCCACAAAATTTTAGACGATTCTGATCCATTCACCCGGATGCATACAAATGGCGTGAGTTAGAGTGAGAAACTCCATGTGTGTGAAACTTCAACACAATGAGCTAGAGTTTGGACTTTTACAAGTCAAAATCCAGAATATTATGCTGGAGTACGTATAGCAGATAACTCCTGCACCAACATATATATATGCTTTAGCGTTGATCTCCTGGTTCACGAATCAATTAAATTAACAAAGTTAAGTGTTTCCATTATCTGAAACATTTAGAAAGTTAAAATTATTGTTTAAGCACTAGCAATTTGGAAAGCCTTAGACTGAGCACTCGATAATGGTTGGGTAAAGATTAATCCTTAATGTTATTATAATTAACAATAATATGGAACCAAGTTTGAGCTTTTAACTTTAAATTGGTATTTTCAGTTCTAGCAAAATCCATATTACAGAAATGAGAAAAAAACATTCTTCAATTTGCATTAAGAGCTCGTGCCAGACGCTTAACATCAATTAACCTTATACCTCGTCGCAATTTACCTGAAATATCAATTAAAATTGAGCAACATAGAAAGACAAGAAAAAAGACATGAAAAGTATGTATTGAAACTTAACCTCTGAACCCTTCGGGTTGCCCAGTTGGTTTAAAGGATGGTCATTCATACAGATGACCGGGATATAATCCCCTCAATGTTTTCTGGGTTGAGCCTGTCGCATAGGGCTTGCCTAGTGCGGTATACTGATACATCCCCTGTGTGGTTTGCAGGCTATTACACCGGGGAAGTTTACCCCGCGCACACAAAGTGCTCACCCAAAGGGCAGAGGTTGTGACATGTTGGAACTTACTCTCTGTAGTAACATTGTCATTTGTCGTTAAATTGGCACCAATTTCTTGATTGTCGCTTGAAAGAGAATTCAATAATCGAGCAAGATGTCTTATTTGATATAAAGGCAGAATATTTGGACTTCTCTGCACTTTATTCATCCTTTCTTCTGCTCCTATTCAATCACAAAAACAAAGCTGAATCTTTTCTGTGAAGTTAATAAAATAGTATTACCACCCTGGACAACCTTAATATCTAGTAAAATTATTGGCCTTAACACCTAATCAAAAATGGCACAAATATGTAGCCTAGCAGTCAATGAAACAGGTGAAAATCATCGAAAATAAAGATTGAAATTTCAATAGAAAAAAAAATGTTAAGCCGTTTTCTAAATATTACTATGTGATTCCTTCTTACCTGTCTAAGCCTTGGTAGGCAGATTTACCGGTACCAATATCGTAGGTAAATATTGGTCGGAGTTGCACTTTTGGATATGAAGGTCGGAGTTGCACTTTTGGATTCAACTAAAATCAGCTTTATATATATATATGATGCTCACTACTAATATATCACTATTTTCTAAAGACATATACGTACACATAAAAGTTTTGCCAAACTTTACGTGTGCCGGTGACCCTTCTCGATGTAGCATAGGTCCGCTCTGGAGGTAACAAGTACCCCATGAAATAGTCGAGGTGCACACCTATGTTGCGTGGACTCTCCAAAATGTTGCTGCACCTGTATTGGTTCCTCCAAAAATACACTATATTTGAAGAATCCGACACGCACCCGACTACATTTTCGAAGAGTCCGAACAACATAGGTCCATACAAGCTAACCTAGATACCGCTGTTATTAAAAAAAACAACTAACCAAATCATACTTATACCATACATAACATACCTTGGTGCAATATATAACTTGATGCAGCTGATTCTTCTTGTGATTTATAAGATTCAGGATAAAATGTAGTCTCAGATAATTGAATACCAAGTCCTGAAACAGGAACAATAGCTTGATTTTCTTCTTCATTTGAGTTTCCTGTACTAGTAGTACTCTCATAATTTTGACAACTTGAAAATGAATTATTATTCAACACTTTTTGTCTTCTCATTTGATAGTTTCTTCTGCGTCTAGCTAAATGTTTTTCCCTCTCCTCCAGGCTCATTGTTTGCCTTCTTAATCTATCGCGAATTCGACGACGCTCTCGTTCTTTTTCTTTTTGTACATTGCGCCAATTCTTTACAACATGCCATTCTTTAGCTTCAGATAACTCTTCAGTAGCCATTGAACTATGTATTCATGCAGTTTTGCTCCAGCCTGATTGCACTGCAACAGAAAAATTCATGCTTCAATCAGTACAAAGAGACAGAAATGCTTAATATTGGAATAAAATGAATCTGAATAAAGTATGGTCTTTGGCAAAGTGATAAAATCCAGCATCTGATGCGTAGGGTTAGGCGCACGTCATGAGTTCAATCTTTGCCGGAGATAAAAGACAGTAATTATAGCAGGGACAAAGTCCACCTCTCTGTATCGACTCAATCACTCTTTAGTCTACGGCAAAGTGATAAAATCTAGAATATGATGTGTAGGGTTAGACGCACGTCATGAGTTCAAACTTTGCCGCAGATAAAAAACAGTAATTACAGCAGGGATAAAGTGCACCTCTGTATCGACTCAATCACTCTTTAGTCTATGGCAAAGTGATAAAATCTAGAATATGATGTGTAGGGTTAGACGCACGTCATGAGTTCAAACTTTGCCGTAGATAAAAGACAGTAATTACAGCAGGGATAAAGTGCACCTCTGTATCGACTCAATCACTCTTTAGTCTATGGCAAAGTGATAAAATCTAGAATATGATGTGTAGGGTTAGACGCACGTCATGAGTTCAAACTTTGCCGTAGATAAAAGACAGTAATTACAGCAGGGATAAAGTGCACCTCTGTATCGACTCAATCACTCTTTAGTCTATGGCAAAGTGATAAAATCTAGAATATGATGTGTAGGGTTAGACGCACGTCATGAGTTCAAACTTTGCCGTAGATAAAAGACAGTAATTACAGCAGGGATAAAGTGCACCTCTGTATCGACTCAATCACTCTTTAGTCTATGGCAAAGTGATAAAATCTAGAATATGATGTGTAAGGTTAGACGCACGTAATGAGTTCAAACTTTACCGTAGATAAAAGATAGTAATTACAGCAGGAATAAAGTGTACGTCTCTGTATCAACTCAATCACTCTTTTTGTCTAGTTAGTGGAACTTATGAATCACAAAATACCAAAAATTGACTTGAAACTTATTTATTACTCTCTCTGTTCCAGTTTATGTAAACTTATTTCCTTTTTGATCCATTCCAAAAAGAATGACCCCTTTCTAAATTTGGAAACAATTTAGCTTAAACTCACAATTCTACCCTTAATGAGAAATGAGAAACTTTTATAACCACACAAATACTCTGAGCCCCTTTGTGACTTGTTTTAGAACCACACAAATACTCTGAGCCCCTTTGTGACTTGTTTTAGAACCACAAATTCCAAAAATCTTACTTTTTTTCTTAAACTCCGTGCCCAAAATTCCAAAAATCTTACTTTTTTTTCTTAAACTCCGTGCCCAGTCAAACATGTTCACGTAAATTGGAAGCGAGGGAGAAAGAGGATTAAGAGAAAGATAAATGTACAGGTAAAAGAGATCATATCATGTCTAATATCATTGAAATGTAAAAAAAAAATACAAATTATGTACTAATAATATTCAACAAGCTCCGAATAAAATAAACCCTACATATATAAAATGCAAATGCCAATAACGGATGATGACATCGGGTGGAAAATCAAAAAAATTAAAAAATAAAATTACCTTAAATTTATGTCCAACAGAACTCAATATCCCACGTCCTTAATCATCCATAACACATAAATCTGCATCCATGGAAAAATATTGAAAAAAGAGACTTTAATTTCTGAATAATCACGAAAAATCCAGGGGAGGGGGGAGGTGGGG